CGAAATAGCCGTAGCATCGTTGTAGACGACCAAATTAATTTACTTTTGTGTTTTAACATCATTTTTTAACATCATTTTTTAACATCATTTTTTAACTTTGTTTTGGTCAATTTGATCATCCACAACGATAGACAGTATTCAGAAAGAGACAGAGAGAGAGAAGAGGGGAGGAGTAGATCTTGCGAGAACTCTCGGGCAAAACAAAATGGCGACCCGCGTAGTTCGGCTCGATTCGAAAAGTGAAATAGCTATAGCATCTTTGTAGACGATCAAATTACCTTACTTTTTTGCTAAAACGTAATTTTTTCTTTGCTTTTATCCATTTGATCATCCTCACCAATAGAAAGTATTCCGAAATTAGGAAAAACAGGTCTTGTTTCTCACCAGTTGAGAATAGCCTACGGTGGCAAGTCTCACCCGCAATGAGAGGTCGATCATATTTTTATTCTCACCCCAGGTGAGGATAGCCACTTCCTGTGTCGAATTAAATGATGTTCGTAAGAAATATATTTTAAATGTAAAGATGTTAAGACCCTTTTTGACATCGTAGACCCTAGAAAAATTTTAAGTTATATATAAAAGAAATTGGACTATTTAATAGAATATGAAAATATATAGTTATCGTTATCGGTGTATATATATTAGATATTACATACACTGAAATTAATATTGTATATACAAATGTAAGTAAGCCTTTTTCATATTTACAAACATTTTTATATATGTTTGTTCGTCTTTTTAGCATGATGAAGATAGTGTGATCGTGTGCGGTTGCGAGCTTTGAAAGACTCTTACTAAAAACACGTCTGATTTTGTAGCGGTGAAACCTGTTGGCGCTTAAATGACCAAAATTGTGTTGATAATGCCGTAAAACATCTACCCAATCAAAATTAATCAATCACTTTCTGCCCCCACCCCCTCACCTCCTTTGCCCCCTCCTCTGGGCTCCTGACACTTTCTGCAGCCTTTCTACTGCTACTCCTTGGCTCCTTCTTACTGCTGTCTTTCTGCCACGCCCCTGATCTTCTGGTAAGAAAGATCTACACCTAGCCCCTTTGGACAAGGACGAAAAATCTCGGAGGGCCCGTGTGCAGGTTGCGCACGTTAAAGATCCGTTGGTGGTCTAAAATCAATAAGAGTAGGCTTTGGCCGCCACCCAGGAAAAATTCCAAATTTCCTACCAACTGAAAATATTAGGTGTGTCCCGCGCGCTCATATGACCTCATGCACTTGCGAGCGCCGTAAAACACTTTACAAAAAAAAAAAAAAAAAAAAAAGAATTGGGAAATATTGGTAACTTTTGGAAATATTCAAAATTTTAGTTATGTGTACCTCAAATTTCGTTAACTGACTTTCGGGGGTCCATTGACTTTAGGCTCTCTTTTTTAGTTTTAAAGATAAGGTCAAAATCCTCACATGGATCCACAGTCCAAGTAGGTTTGTACTTGTGTGCCAAATTTCAGGCTGACATCAAAAAGTGGATGGTTGATAATAAGCTCCAGCTTAATGAAAATAAAACTGAAATTCTTTTATGTAGCCCAAAGAAAAGCCATATCC